TACATGCAAATGACATACGGATTTCATTTGCCATCATCCTTTATTGCTTAACATTACTCCATAGTAAATAGAGTAAATGGAGGCAGAGTGTAACCAATAAGATTACTTACTCATTTTTGAAGCCCATCTGTGCATGTTATTCATCCTAATAAAGAAAATTTATCACAACATAACTTAATGTAATTCTTGTTCAAATAATTCCTTCCTCCATTGAACAACAGCCAGCCTTTTAAACCTAGAATTCCACAGAATTCTCTCCTCTATTCCTCTTTAAAATGCAATTCACAGCTTGAGATCACAGAGCCTGCCAGTGGCTGAATGGCTGCACTGGATGGCTGAGAGTCCTTCAATTAAGCAGCAATTTTGCAATTAGTGGAAACAGAGTGCTCCATAACAATTGTTTGAAAACAAGTTGAGACAAGTGAGCAATTATCCTATTAAAGGGATATATTCACTTGCATTGGGCTAGAAGAGCCCCCTTACACAAAACTGAAACCTTCCACGCAGGAAGACAGGAGTTGAAAATTACTCTTTAACCAGTAAAATAAAATCAGGATTATGGATGTCTGAATGGGAGTTCCTTTCATAAAAGATACTCAGGGTTTAGCTATCATCTGCTCCCCACACTCTCTGTTTTCATTCAGGAAATCTGAAATTGTTCTTCTCTCAACTCTGGGACTAACTTCCTAAATCTTAAAATGTTAATGAACTACTTGTATATGACCTTTCCATTGTACATAACCTCAATTTTCTTGAGGTGTGGAAAATTATGCCTATGATTGAGCCACAAGGTTGCTGGCTGTGTTACATTTCACCAGTTCACTATCTGGATATTGAGGGATGTGTGCACATGTGTTTGGGGGAGGGGGAGGGAGATTTACAGAAGGTTTTAAAAAATGAATGTAAAAAATGTAAACAAGCTCTTTGCTATACTATCAGATGGGCGTGTTCAGCTAGCTCTGTGTGCTGAGCTACAAACCAGAGCTATTTATATTTGAAAGAAATGAGATTATCAATCATCCACATTTTGACTATTAAAAAGCAGGGACTCTTAAAAAGATTCCAGGAAGAAGAGAATAGCTTACATTCTAATGGTGCCCCTTTTAAACAGGAAACCCAAGGATATGAGCCAAGATTTTAGAAATTTGCATTTATATTTACACAATTTCCCCTTCCTGGTCCGTTAAAATGAATCAGCAATAGCCCACCATCATCTTCCACCCTACCCTTCTTTGGCCACTACGAGGTTTAACAATTAACTCACATAGTATAACTGAAAGTTTTGAGGTGATTGGTGAGTACTGTATTCTAGGCAAATGATCATTTTCTTGGTTCATTTTGTTTGCAAGAAAAAGTTACTTGCTAGAAAGACATCCTAAAACAGATTTCCTAAATGCTTTATTTTCTGAATACACAAATGTTGGTGTAATAACCTCTTAAATGGCCTTAAATATCACCTTAAATAAACAAGATTTCTAGTTACTAACTCAGCTATGAATGGGTTGTGAAAGTCTCCAAAGATATGTGAAAAATTACTGTTATTTTGCTTTAAAAAAATGTGATGTCTAAATGTGTCTGCAATGTTCTAATGCTTCAAAACATGTACATAAGTCTTGTTTATCTGGAAATCATTTCTTTCTGCTTATATCATTTATAAATAGAAAATGCTCTGTAATCTCTTAAAATAGTTCTATATACATAATGCTTTTCATGTCATAATACTACTAGTCTATATTTACCAACATTCATCACATTTTGCAAAATAAAGCAGAAGAAAAAAAAGACAACAGCTTTATGGTCCTGGAATTTCAGTAATGGTAACCAACATGTTTCAAATTCCAGTAAAGGTTATGGTTATTTCAACAAGTGTCTCTCTCAGAGGTAAACTTTAAAAAGAAGTCTTAAGCAAAGAGCATTTGCAAAGTCAAAGAACAGGAGTGATAGTTTTCAAGGGGTGCTGTTTCAAGAGTCAAAACTTTGTAATTTCAACAGCTGTGGGATCTACTATGTATCATAGCTTCAAGCTCATGTCATAATCTCAGAAACCTCCAAGGCAGAAATGATAATGTTGCACAAAATAAACATTGAAGACTCACATGTTAAAAAATCTTAAGATGAAAAAAAAATGTTAAGATAAATGAAACCCATAATTACCCATTAATAGATAAAAATATAAAAAATAACATTGAATTGTAAAACCAAAATGGCTTTTGACCTTATAACTAAACTATAAAAATCGAATTTGGACAAAAATAAAGGAAGAGGGAAATATTTCCCAAGAATTTGCCCAGTTTTGGGGTGTGGGGGGGGTCTCATTTAATAGCAGGCACCTTTTATATGCAGCTAAAAAGAAATAAAAGCTTCCTAATTATATACTGCTTTGCTTTAAAAGATAACTGTACTGGAAGAATTGATAAACATTCAAAAATATGCTTTTCTTTGCTTCTGGCCAAGAACATTCCGGCATTCTTGTCAGAAAATGTTCACTGGTTGTTGCCCACTCAGTATTGCAAGATACCCAGGCGACCCTAAAATTAGATCCAGGAAGCCCTAGCACATCACCAACATTAGCGCTTATCAAAGCACCCTAAGGACGAGGAAATCTTTTTGCTTTTGAGCCAAACTTTCAAGTCAATCCACAACGACGAATCCCACACCCCACCGAACTGGTCAGAAGCGTCATTCAACAAGTCCCTCCCACAAGCTCCCTAAGGGATTCCGCAAAAACCGTCCCTTCCAACTTCCCCACCCCCAGCCTCCCACCCCCAGCAGCTGTTCTAGGCGGCGCGGCCGGCAGAGGGCACCCTCTACCTTCCCTAGCGCTGCTCTCGCGGTCCCTTCCTCCTCTTCCTCTTTCTCCTTAACGCCCCCCACCCCCGGGGTTCCTCATCCCGGCTCCAACCCCAACGCTGGAACTCTGCATCTTCCCACGGCGACTCCAGCTCACCCCCGCAGCCTCTGGCTTTCCCCCCCTAGGGGCAGGGGGCCTAGTTTGCAATTTCCCTTTCTCCCTGACCATCGGGCACAAAGCCCCCAACCCTCAGCTATTCCTTTCTAGGCGCAGCTTACCCATTTCTCTTTCTGGATTCACACCCTCAGAAATTATCCTCAGTCAGGACATCCCCTACATACACCCTCCCACTCACCGAAAGTCAAAACTTTTACCTCCCTGGAGGGTGCGCCAGGAGAGGCTTGCAGAATGGGGAGAGGTGTGGGTACGGCCTGCCCCTCCCCAGTGGGAGTTTCTCAGACCCTTTCAGGTCCAAGAGGCAGGAAGGCCCCAAGTTTTCCAAGCCACATTAACCTTGGATCTGTGTAGGTCCGCTCTGGTCTCAGCTCCTGGGAGGCAGGTGCTTGGGGGCAGCTCGGCTTGAGTCCCAGGAAAAAAGATGCTAACAGAGGGCGCAAAGACCCCACTCCCCCACCCCCACCCCGGCCTCTGCCAAAATCCACGAGGAAGCGGCCAGCCGGGAGTCAGGGTTCATACCCCAGCATCCACACTCTCCCCTCCTCTCTAAACCCCTCTCACAGCCCCTCCTCGGCTGGGGAGTACTGCTGGGGTTCCCCGGGGCGCCGTCTTAGCTCCCGTAGCACAACTCGGAGACTCCTCTTGGCCTTTTCTCCCTCACTTCAGGGATTCCTGGGGTCCCTCTCCCGGAGGGTGCTGGCCGCCCCTCTGGGTCGTGGGATAGAAGAACGCGCCCTAGGAGTTAGCTCCAGACCCTCTCTTCTCCTGAAGGGGAGGGAAAGGAGGAGTTGTCTTCCTACAACTTCGTAGTCCCCCAGCCAACTTTCCCCGGAGGACCGGCAGCTCCCGCGCCAAGCCCCACGCCCGGCATTCGCCTACCTCGGGGTCCACACAAAGCTCTCAGGTCCCGGGCAGCGGAGTCACATCGTTGTCCCGCTCCTGGCCCCTGCGCCCAGCCCAGGTCCCCGTCGTGATGCTGCTCTCCACCGGCCCCACAGCAGCGGTGGAAGCTGCAGTTCAAGTGTCTCATCAAAGCTTCACCCAGAGGAGGTGGGGGGCGCGCCGGGCCGGCTTCTTCGCCCGGCTGGCTTCTTCGCCGGGCCCCGGAGCCTGGGGCGCTACGGGATGCGCGGGACAGCCAGCGCACTGGTACGCCCCGGCGCGGCGGCAGCAGCGACCGGGACCTGGAGCTCCAGCCTGCGCCTAGCCCTCGGGTCAGACATTATTTAGCTCTTCGGTTGAGCTTCGATTGGTCAGACGGCGCCGCCCCCTCCCACCCCCGCCCCCCGGCTCGCCTGCGCTACCGATACCCGTTCGGGGCGGCAGCTTAAAGGGAACGCCGCGCCTTTTCCTTGCTGGGACTCAGCATGGGGGGGGGGGGGGCCGGGGAACCCCCATGTGCCTCGCTCCGCCTGTCCAGTATCCCGTTCCCCTGGGGTCTGCCTGGTAGACCAGAGAGTCCTGCGCCGCCCACGGGACCTGGGCAGGAGTCCGCGGCTTAGAGGAGTGGTCAGCTCGGGTTCCGGGGAACCCCGAGTCCCGCGCCCTCCGCGAAAACCCCGGCAATGTGCTTGCTCCAGAACAGGAGGAAGTGAGTGCGAATCCTATGCGCCAAGGTCTGGCTCCCTTGGCTCAGGGGTCTCCCCTTCTTCCCTATCCCAGCACCCAAGTTCCGTGGGACAAGGGCGTGCGTTTCCCGGACCACAGACACACCTTCCCGCACCTTCCCGCACAACGGAGCTTGCAAACGCGAGCACACAATGAGATTGCACAGAGCATGGGGGCTGTTGATTTACTCCKTTACCTTAAACACGCCGGCTTAAACAGAGGTCGCCCACTGACCTCTCCCGAGTTTGCCTAATAGGAATTCAATCAAGATAATAACAGCATTTTTTATTAATGAACGCCCCCAGATAACGTTACACCAAGTTACTTGCTCCAGCCAGGAAGCCGAGGCAATGACAGACCTCACTAAACCACACGCTTCTTAGCAGACCAGAGAAAAATTGAAAGAGAAAGAAAAGAAACCCACCTTTTCAGTCACTACTTGTCAAAGTAAACATCAAGGCAGCTTCTCTGGGGGAAGACTTCGGCCCCAAAACTCCCAGACTCTTATTATTTTTTCACCTTCCTTTCGGTTAAAAAGAAGGTGGGGGGAGTCTTTAGTGCCCGGTAGGTACTCCTTCTGTTCTGCAGCAAAGAAGTTAAATTATTGATAGTGGAAATTGCATGGCGGAGGTAATACTCGCACCCCTTGAACGAGGAGCTCCATTTGATCTCGGCAGAGGCTGGGACATTTCATGCTAGCTCGCCGGGGGGAGCGGCAGCGCGAGCAGTCCTCTAGGCAGTGAATGGGAAAGTGGGTGGGAGTCCACGAGAGGGCTCCACGGTGCCTTGACGTGCGCTGTCATATGATACCTCCGCTGCCTCGAAATAGACACTCTAGTGCACGAATTACCAGAATCAAAATTCAGCGCATTTAAAATGATACATCTTTTATTAGAAGAGTTCCGTTCCAGGGCATTGCCTGCCTTTGCAGATGTTTTCACTTCCATCCCTAGCAAACTTACACACATAAGTCAACCCTTTAATAATGAACCTGGGCCGCAAAGATAAATTAAAAACCTGCTTCAACCAGAGTTGGGGTCCGGGTGGGGTGGGGGCAAGTAGTATCAGTTAACCCACCCCACCCTACCCCACCCCCACCCGTCGCCGGATACGGAAGAGCAGTCAGTCTTTAGAGTTCCTTGCCGGTAGCCAAGACCCTTAGAGACAATATGCATGGCCAGCGGCCAGAGGACTATTTTCAATTAGCCATTTGACGAACTTTGTCAACTGTCTACCTGAGTTCCTGCTTTAAAGCTGAATGTCCGTCTCAATTAGTTCAAATAGTCTTTATGCATTAGGACTGATCTTAAAATTTAGAATAAAGAACGAGACGGCAGTACTTAACGTAGAGTTCCCGGACCTCCTCAGAACATAAAAATCGCCTAAGAGTCCAAATGAAGTTCCCTCCTTCTGGACTTGTGCTTTAGTAGGGTTGAGGAAGGATTCGGGAATTAGCATTTTAATAAGCACCCAAGCAATTCGGTTGCAGACAATATTAATTTACACTTTGAGAACCACTCTCCAGGAATAAAAAAAATGGGTATCAGAGGAATCCACTCCCCAGGTTCTGCAGGCAGTTTTATGTATATGGACGTTTTTCTGTCAACTAAGAGGAACTTGTCCTAATAAATGCTAAGACTCATTGCTGTAAGAATTTCCCTAAATACTCCAATATTAATTTTGGTAAAGGGAAAGATTTATAAACTGTTTCCTTTCCTGCACCTTCTCATGGTTAGCACGAATGTGCTGTTGAACAGAATATGTAACTTTACTGCATACTGGGTTCAATTAATCTAAGGGTTGACTGTTAACAAAACTAATTCACTAACTAGCTATTTTAGAGGTTCTAAAGACTAGTGACAGAAATTATTCCTGTTTTTATGAAAAAATCAGATTTAGTGCCTCAAAATAATTTACCCACGTTTATACAGTTAAGTACTAGAGACAAAACTTCAATGAACTCAAAACCCCAGGTAGAAACAGTCATTTCTACTATCTCCCCTTCAGTTGGCAAATTTATTTGTTCCTTGGAAGTGTTATCAGAAAGTGTGATCAGTCAGGGAACCTTTGCAAATTATTGGGCTAAATAGCCAAGTTATTCAAATATATGCATATTTTAGAGTATCACGGATTTAACTTTACACCTCTGTCAACTTGATGGACTACATGATCAATACAAACTACTCTACAGCACCGATGGTGGAGTTTACTGTGAAATATTTAATATATGGAAAATATGCTGTGTAACCAACGAGCAATAAGGAACAGAGGGCAGGAAGCTGGGCTTGGCCACCTCAAAGACCCTCAGTATTGATTCCTGAGATGTGGGCTGAATGTAGACACAATTTCTTTTCAGATTTCAATACAATTCAGGAGGCTATTATTATGAATTTAAAGAAATACTTGTGTTACTTTTTAAAGGACTGGAGGTCCAGAATCTTTGCTAGCATTCTCAATGCTGCTTAATTAGAAGTCATGGCAATTTTTTTTTTTTTTTTTTTTTTTTTACCTGCTAAATTCACATTGCCATGTCAGCATTTCTGCTGAAGGAAAAACTGTTCTCACAACTGAGGCTCTGATTGGGTGGGTCTACGGCCAATCTTATTCCTACTCTCACTTGACATTATATAAATAAATGTTTGTATCTTCACTTTCCAGTGTGTGGTGCAGTTTTACTGAGGAAAAGACAGGGGAAAAAGAAAAGGCAGGAATATTCAGAAGAGAAGATCAAATACCAATTCAGATAAGCCTGATGAATCCAACCTCTTAACACTTCTGAGCATTTCCAAACTTCCCCAGTTGTAATTAAGGTATTACCAAAACAGTAAGAGACCAGATTTAAAATACCTATTTGCCTTAAAAGTACATGTTACACTCAAAAACAATAAAGCTGGGCTGGGGTTGTGGCTCAGAGGTAGAGTGTTTGCCTAGCATTTGTGAGGCACTGGGTTGGATTCTCTGCACCATATATAAATAAATAAAGTCCATTGACAACTAAAAATATATTTAAAAAAAAACAACAACAACAAAGCCAAGATGAACCAAGTGCCAGTGACTTGCATGGAATTCTGAATTTTTTATTTGCTTAATTCAGATAGTAATATACATATAGTTTTAGAGATTTAAGGTTAGACTTTTACAATTGTGTGTGTGCACACACATTTGAGATCAAAGGCAATGCTGAGAACATAAAGCATGCTTTTCTGATTCTTCTAAAAGATTGAAGACACAATTGATCATTAAAGGAAGAACTTCACAGCTTAAAAGAAAATGATACTTATTTTTTGTGGAGCTTAAAAATTTATTTTGAATTAGTCTAATCTTTATTTCTTTTTCAAAATGATCTAATACTATCCTAACCCAATGTTCCAGGAGGACAAAGGTCAGGGAGAAATGTGAATTCCCATCTATTCTTGTCAGGAAATAGAAAGTAATCCTCATTACTCAAGTGGGAACAGAGGCAGTAGGCTCAGATTTGACACTGACATATTTTTTCTATTAATAATTTTAATTGGCTGAGGTCAATTCTACTATCACTGTAAGCATTTTATGTTTAATTATGTTTACTTAAGTTTCCTAGTTACTCCTGCCTTCATTCTTCCTTGCAAAAGAAAAAAAAATTGTGTAGTATCAAATGAATTGACCTCAAACACTGCTGAAAACTGGAGTAAGTAATTAACATAAGGAAAATAATAAGTAAACAGAAAAACCCTGCTGAGCAGGGTGGCAAAGATGTTTTCAAATTCATGCTGCATGACTTCAAAGGCTCAATCTAATGTTGAACTCTGTCATCACAATCCTTGAAATTATTGAATAAGGCCTGTCCTGAGAAAAATCTTATGAAGAAATAGTTTTCCTGTTCATTAGGTTGCACGTCTCTGTAAGTATTTTATGAACCATAAGAATTGTTTTATGTCCTACTTATGTGGCCAAATTGACCAACACCTATAGGCATTATGTAACCAGACAGGGCTATTAGTAGTAGATGAAAGCAAGGAACCACAAAAGAAAATTTTACCAGGACCCAAATTTGGAGTGCAGGGCAAGGGGGTAAAAAACTGATTCTACCAGGAATAATAGGTAGAATAAATAAATAAATAAATAAAAATATTTGGTTAGGTCAAGAAAAACATCACAAAATCCATGAAGTTGCTGAGACAAACCCCCAAACATATATGAATCATTAATTTGTAATCCTCTGAATTACCAGCTCTTCTCTGAGAAAAATTAATAGCACAGAATAAATTGATTTACTCATTGTGATATTTCTATAAGCACAGTCAATAGTAGTGTGAACTTATAGGCATGGGAAATAAGTTAGAGCTGACATTGAAATTGACTATGGTGTTTGTTGATTGTGCTGCGAGAAGAGCCTTGAGAAGAATTAACAAATTTCAACCAAAGGGTTTCAGGATATTGAATCACATGTAAGGAGCAGATCACCTTATTTTTGAGACCCAACTATTTTAGACTGTGCAAGGATGTGAATGAAAGATTTTCTACTGCTAAATTTTATGTTCTTTATGTAAAAATGGAGAAAGAAAGTGTAGAAAAAGTCAAAAATAGAAACACACTAAGAATTTGTGTGATTTTGCCAAATGCAGTGGCACAGGCCTTATAATCCCAGAGATTCTAGGGGCTGAGGCAGGAGGATCACAAGCTCCGGGATAGCCTCCATAACTTAGACTGTCTCAAAATTTAAAATAAAAATTTAAAAAGACTGGGGTGTAGCTCAGTGGTAGAGTAACCTGGGCTAAATCCCCAGTAATTAATAAATAAATGAATCAATCAATCAATAAGTAGATAAATAAATAGTTTGTGTGATCCTGATAAATGAGTCTATGCAATGCCCCCCTTTAATGATCTTTTTGAAGAAGGACCTGGGTAGTCTATGCAACTGGCTTTCTTGTCCTCATCCTGCAGATAGCATTAGTATAGTGGGAATAAAATCCTCACTAGCATAGGTGTTGCAGCAGGGGTTAGGTTTGGCTTTGTCTTGCATACAACATCATTTAACAACATCTGAAAATTTGTCTTCCATTTAGGTTTCCTCCAATTTTACTTCATAATTACGATTCATAATTACATTCATGCAGTTGATGAAAACTTGCTGTGCACCTTCGTACTACAAGTCAGGCACTATTCTATGGGCTATGATACAAACAGATAAATAAAACACATTTTCAGTCCTTTTAGGAGTTCATACCATAGGCCATGAATTGTGTTTTAATCCAGTGGGGCACTTGTGAATTTGTTAGGGGAAAGAAATTGTTTCATTTTAAACCTTACCATAGGTTTGGTGTCCTATGTAGAATCATGACCATCAGCATGCTCTTGTGGACAGGAACAATAGTGATGACAAGAAACTTGTTCCCAAAGCTGGAGATGCACCTAGAGGCTAGGGAGGGCTCACCATGGCTAATTAGGGTCCTGTTATTCTTGGTCAACAGTGTTTTCAAAAGGTAGGCAATGGTTAGGGGGTGGTAAAAAGGAAATGAGGCAAACGATTTTTGTTTGAAACAAGTATTTTTTTCTAAACATGTTTAGATATACTTTTAGAAAGATAGGTCTGGAGGGATCTTAAGAGATTATCTCATCTTCTTTGTAACTTATAGGCCTATCACTGCAGACCAGGGAAGTAGACCTCATATCCTTCTTCTGAGGACTTTTCTAGAATCCAGAAATGCTAGTGCTTGGAAACTCGTCCTTGTAACACATTTTTGTTCTT